TCTCTCATCAGTCACAATATACAAATACATCATTGTCAACACCATGGAAAACATGTAAGAAAAACAAACTGTACCAATTCTCAGCTGGGGAGAGGAAATCTTAGCAGCTATTTCAGCTCCAGCTGCAAGAAGAAATACATACACAATTTGGCTCTTTTTTCTTATTATTCATATATATTTCTAATCATATATATATTTGAAGTCAGGCTTTGAGTATTTTTGGAAAGTTAGCACATGGCCTTCCTCATACCCCATCCTGTTTGAAATCTCAAGAGTCTAAGAAAATTATGGATAATAAAATGGCTTTTCATCACATACACAACCAGAATATAAGACACACACACAGCTTTGTTGACACTGACAAGAAAAGCCAGTGTTCAGATGTGGTTTGGCCGCAGCCGTTCATGATCAAGACAATGACCATTGGCCTGATTCTCCAACCCAGTGGCATTAGGTGAGAGAGAAGGAGAGGATCAGGCCTGATTACATTTTAACCTGGTTTACTAAAAGCAAGACTTGCGTATCATGGCAACTGCCCATCTATCTGTTTGTCATCACCGCCAGTAAGGAAGGAGCCTGTTGCCCAACTACACCTGACTGAGCAGAGGGCAGAGATTTGAGGATGTGAAGTTTCTGCAAGTTTCACAGAAGACGGCAGCAGAGCAGAGGGAGGAGATCCAAGTGCAAACCTCAGCCCGGAGGGCAGGTCTCACTAGTCGGGACCCGGAGAGAGGCAGCTGGCACGGACTCGCTGGTCAAGCAGCAAGGGCACAATGCTCAACTATGAGTGCTGCTACAGCATAGATTTACCTTGGACCTTGTCTCTTCTACAACAGAAACTTAGTGGCAACTATTCCTTCTAAATGACTTTCTGGTCACTATATCATCTCCATACAACACCGAAATGAAATCTGTATTTGAAAACTATGATTTTTAGGTCTATCTACCTGAAAATGATGATGTCAAAGACCTACATACAGAATAAGTATTCCTTAACTTACACATTAGTCTTGGTGGACATTACCAAATCATATTCTAGACTGTACATGGAGGTCATTCCCTTAATTATCACTTTGCTCAACAGAAATACACTAATTAAGAGACTATCCTGTCTACTCTTAAAAAAAAAAAAAAAAAAGTCATCAAACCCCATTTTGTCTCATCAGCAAAGCCAGAAGGTTATTTCTTGTTGGCTGCTCTCCGACTTGTCAGCTGCCTGACCTGTCATTGAACTTCATTCTTTGAAAAAGCAAACCCAGCAGCGTGGCACCATCTCGCTGACATTCGCACCGCAGGCATCAGCCAGGCAAAGGGCGCCGGTTACTCCCCCGCCGGAGCTGCAGTGGTTGCAGTATGGTCTGAGTTTGGAACGAGGAGACAGAAACAGGCAGCTGCCTTTGGCTCGCTGGCACTGCAGGAGGGTTGAAGACACAATTAATGGTTGTGGGCTCCCTGCTCAGGTTCAGTAGTGTCTGAGGACAGCTGTGATGATACAATCAACTCCCAAGGACCACTGAGACCAGAGTGCTGTGCCACTGCTGCACACAGCCACAGGGCAGGGAGTTACTTGTCATCCTCAGGACATTTGTGGTGCAGGAGTGACTCAAACTTTGGTCCAAGAGGGTAAAACATGAGATTTTGAAAAAAAGAAAATTGTTTTCAAAACCGAAGTAGGGAGGAGAATTGTTACAATCCAGCGCATACATTTGTCATGACAAGATGGGGAGCTGGGAGACAGGAGCCACTTCTGCAGCAATCCTCTTCCCTGCTCCAGCTCTAGACTGTCCCACAGGATGCCACCACTGACAGTCACAATGGGCACAGCAGGACATAGGGGGTTGAATGCTTTGCTCTCCCCTGGAGGGTCCCCGATTTTTGTATACATGCTAAAATTTTGCACCGGAATTCGACACGTGGGAAAACCAATAGCTCCCATTTTACAGGAAGGTGTCGAGGCACCGGGGATATAGGACTAGCACACTGTCACCCTGCACACAGCAGAGGTAGGAAATGGACTGACAATACCCGATTTTCCACCTGCAGTTCAAGCAGAGACTTCCCACTGCCATTTCACTGTCAGAATGAAATTCCTCCAAAGAAACTCCAAAGTGCAGGTTTGCATCTTTCCATCTGTCAGCAACACCACAAATCCTAGTTTTGGCAGTTTCATATAACCAGGGTAACCCTTCCCTTTCTCTCTCTCTCTCACACACACACAAAAGCTTACTATATTTACTAATGTGCAATCAAAGCTCCCTACCCCTTTCCTCTCCTATGCTTAGGGCAGGGGTAGACAGAAGCACTGTTATCAGGCTGTGCAAAAATTACTGAAAGTAATACAGAGACCAAAATTAACTCATTTTAGGGAGAGGATAAAATAATTGCCCTACAAGAAAATGTCACTGCCTATTTCCTTAGGAGGCTGAAAGGAATCAATACTTCCCTCAAGATGCTCCTAACTACAGTAGACCAACAGGATTCATGTTCCTGAGAGCCTATGTGTCATTTTTAAGGTAAATGACCAGCACAAACCAAACAAGCTCTTACCTCTGTAGGACAAAATTAGCTTCCAAAACGGTACAGAACTCTGAGGTCCATTAGTCATGAATGGAAAATGTCAGAAATCACAGAGTTTAGATATTGAGAGTTAGAAGAACCATGGGAATTAACCACCACTGTGCAACTCATAATTAACCAATAAGCCTTCACAGGCAAACAAAATCTGAAGAAGCCTTTACCTACTCCAAGGCTGTTTCTATCTACTTGCTTCACAGCTATCCTGACTCACACACTAAGATATTTGCAATGCCAGCCTCCACTGAGACACAAAGAAAAACATTCAGGTCCCTGCAAAGGTGATAGCAGAAATGATCCAGACTCCTACGAATTTGCTCAGAGGCTCAGTTACTAAAGAGTGGGTTTTGGTTTTGATTCATCTCCATTTTTAGTGCTTTCGTCCCCTTTGCTATTTACATAGAGCACTACTAATCTCAGGGTTAAAGAAAAAATCCCTAATAGTGAAAGCCAATCACTTACTCTTGAGCTTCTAGGGTCATTTTTACCAGGCTGATCTTTGCCTGTTTGCAACCCTTTGTCAATACTTATCTTTACTAAAGTATTAGCAGCTTTTGTGGGACCTAAGACCCAATTACCATCAAAATGCCTTCATGCCTTAACAGCTGCTCTAAATGAGCTAATGGCTTGTATAGGAATAATAACATCTGTAATCACTTTATATTATACATTACATCCTTATATGCAGGAGATTTGTTACAGTCCTTTAATCAAATGTCCTGGAAAGAAGTATTTAACAACAACACTTTAGCCACTCGTTGGAGCATCTAATGCTCACTGCCTATTTGCAATGCTTAAGTATATTCCAAATGGGGGATGAAATGTATCTACTCCATAGCCCAGCACACAAAGAAAGCATGCAGTCTACTCAAACATATGACATTAAATGGCATTCAATTGAATTCTCGGCACCAAATGCAACGGATTGTGATCCAGCAACCACAGACTGCAGAGGGGACAGAGGAATGACTTATATTGTAAAAAGAGTTCAAAATGTTCTTTGTCACAGTAGCTGTCACACATCTTTGTTTCCCTGTTAAGCCCTGCACCTCCACCTCAGAGCCAGGAATTGCCATCTGCATCATTCCAACATAATGCTATATGCAGCAGGTCGTTCACTGTGCCATCGCAAAAGTAGTCACGTCATTGCTGCACGAAGCCTCTCTGATGGTCCGAGTCAGAAGTTTCCATACCACAGCCACCCTAAAAAGGGATGTTTTTGGTGTTGACCATCAGTAAAAAGGGCACACTCATGATGTATCAGCTGGAATTAAGGAGGATGGGGAAGGCACAGCCAGAGGCAAGCAAATGGAAAAACCTCCAGGTGACTCCATGGTAGAGCAAGAACTCGTAACCATGCATGCGTCCTCTCTGCAGTAATTCGGTGTTCAAGCAAAGTTGCCAAAAGGTGCGTGCATAGCTCTGCTGTCGACCTAATTTAGGCCACATCTCCTGAAACAGTTTGATAATCAATACGAGAAGCATTTTTCTCCTCTAATACTGAAGGTGGGTTTTGATGCTTTCTGGATGTTTAATGCTGCTTTCAAGTTTGTTTTTCCCAGCTTGCCAGGTGGACAGCACAGTTCTCCTCTGTTCATGATGATAAAATTTTAGTGAATTATGAACCTCAGAGCTTGTGAGAAAGGCAACTTTGATCCAGTGTCCACCCAAAATAGACAGAGATGGATGGGGTCCTGAGGAAGGCTCGTCCTGCTCTTCAGCTACCAGCCCTCTGTTCCGCTGGAAAGCTTTTGGCCACCTCACTCTCCTTGGTGTCTGACTCTACTGAGGCCGTACTGCAGGAATCGTTGTACATGTCTGAAAAGGAGGACATGGGCATTGTCACTACAATAAGTCTAAAGGATTTCCCATCTACGGTCTTGAGGTTCATTGTTAAAAGCCTGAAATAAAATGAAAAATAAATAATTACAATTCTACTGCTCTCCTAATTCCTTCACTAAAGGCAGGGGAGGCTTTTTTTGCATGTAACTAACCGTAATGTGTGTGGCTTTATTTTTCTTTTGAAGGATTAGACACGCCAAAGAAATGAGAGCCATAGTTAGGCACTGAAGGTGAAAGACAGACTGACCTGCTGTGGAGGTGAAGGAGCAGCAATTACCAAACTCCCTTTAAACCACAGCAAAGAATTCTGGTTAACTTTCAAAAAGGTTTTTCTCCACTTTAACAAACTGACCAAAAAAAAAAAAAAAAAAGAAACCAGTAACTCAGAATAAAATGCTGGTAGCTCTCTATTGCAGGTCCCCAGGGAACAGCTGTGCCAGATTTTACTTTCTTCTGTTACCAGAAGAAAAGCAGGACACGTTTTGGTAAATTATATTTAAGGATGGGCAAAAATTAATCTAAAATTGTAAACCTTTGATCTGCAGAGTTGCTGAGATTCAGCTTTTCCAGTGCAACCTGTTTGGGTGTTAGGTCAGAACCAAAGCTGAAGAAATTATGACGTTTAGTGCTGATTTGGCTGAAATCTTGCCAGAGCAGCCCTTCCTCCAGCTTTTGGAGCCAGCAGTGAAATATGATGAAAGCAGTAATGGTTCATGAGATTTTACTACCTTCAAACCTAGACCAGAAGCACAGCCCTGATGCTGATCTAAATCCAAATGCTACCTGTGTTAGGATGAAAGCTATCCTGCCATATGACACACTTGGGCTAGCAGTAAAGTAGCCAGCCTGGGTACTGGTAGCCACAGGAGTTTGGTGGGAGACTCAAGTTCTGCCCAGGAGGTGGAAAACAATTAGACCATGCCAAGGTAAGCTGCTGTGCCTAACCAGCTCTGACACCCATGGCACCAAATTTCAGGCTAGCTCAGCTGCGTCACCAGAGACTGCAGCACAGACGTACTGAGTACTTTGATACAGAAAGTGCACTGTTCATCACATCCTTTTTTGTCACATCCTTCTTTAGTATGGAAAAAAAAAAAAAAAGTTAAATGCCAGTAACACATTTTCTATATTACCTGCATTGCTGTTCTTAATTATGTTGATACTGTCTCCCTCTGCTGGCTGCAATATACTGGAAGGAACCCAGTCGCTTTTCTCAGAGACCAGTTTCTTCACTAACCT